GGGGGGGGGGGGAAGGGGAAGGATTGCATTGATCACCATGGAAGTGCAGACAGCAGCAGAGATAGGGTTGACGTTCCGAGTGCGTGACCAGTGACTTGGAAGATGTGGGAATGAATATAATAAGAATATATTAAAGAGAGTAATGGAAGAAGGGACCACAGTTTTGATACAAATCGTCTTTCGTTCTTCACGAGTGCGATCTTCTGTGGCGTCTCAGGGCGTACTCGCCACTAAACGACTTTCCTGAATGAATGTGACCGCGATGACAGCCTGCCCTGGAAGTATCTGAGTGCAATTACGGCCAGAGCTTAGTCGAGTAGAAAGTCGTAGTGCGAGTATGCTTCCGTTGTTTCACTGATAAACAGCAGTACGTTTCTGACCCCTCTTTAGGAGTTCTGAGGGGGGGGGGCGCGCTATGTGTCTAAATTGAGTTGGCAAGCTCGGGGGAAAGGACAGACTACAACGTGGGCAAATACAGAGCTATGGATGAGAGCTTAGGGGATATGGGGATGGTTTCCACGTTGACGCTGTCCTGTTAGAGTAGACTGCAGTGATCAACGGCCGATATGCTCTGCTGCAGTGATCAACGGCCGATATTCTCTGCTTGATTTCACACGTTTGCATGTTCATCAGTTCCTACTCAGTGCCTTCTGGAGCTTGCTGTCGTTTGCTACGAGTGCTTGACACGTGGTCGACGAAGATGATGATGCTGATGATGCTGATGCTGCTGCTGCTGATGATGATGATGACGACGAGGCCGGAAGATGATGAATGTTACCATCGACTAGCAGGAAAACAGGTTTGCTGGGCTGGAAGGGGAGTGACTGGGGAATGAATGATCTGTAGAGGTGTGTTGGGAGGGCGGTTCATGCGCCGCAATGACATGCGGCGTGCGGAGGAGTGTCTTAACGTTCTCCGATGGAAATTGGGGGTGGTGATAAGGCAGGAAAGCAAGGTATTGTTTACATCTTACCAAAGATCAAAACGATTGTGACGCTACTGATGGGATGATGTCTTGTGCGGACGGGCAATTTTTGGTATTCAAAAACCTCTGCTGTGAAAACGGGAAGCAAGCCCGGATTAAGAACATAAGGAAACTAGTGCAGTTCTCAGGCAGGAAGAAGTGGAGCCCTCGATCAAAGAAGGTGCAGATGTGTGTGGGTGTGGGTGTGTGGAGGGGGCGAGAGAGAGAGAGAGAGAGAGAGAGAGAGAGAGAGAGAGAGAGAGAGAGAGAGAGAGAGAGAGGATTTGCTATGTGCGAAAGAAGGTGGTTTGCGCAGGGGGACATAATTACGCACCTTGCACGTTCGTGGAATGGGGTCTGGGTAATCTTCCTCATGTTCGTTTAGTGGAGGATGGGTATGACGAGTAGCCAAGCGAGAACCAATGCCCGAAGATGATTGGAGCACCCGCCGCTGTGACATGCGAACAGTGGTGGCCCGGATCCATTGGAACTTGAGAAGAACAGACCAGGGGAGAGGAAACTGGTGTGGAGGTCTGGGTGCTGTGGCCTTATGGTTGTGAGAGATTGCAACTGCGTGACGGGGACTGCGGTCGTGGGTAGCATCATTTGTTTTAATCACCGAGCCAATTTTAAGATCAAATGCATTTTTATCATCGAGCCAATGTAAAGACCAAATGCATGCATGATTCTGCCTGTCCGGTCTTTCAGTTGCTAGAGCACCCGAGGGATTGTGTCATCGTCTCATTTTTGCCGCGCAACTGCTGTTGGAAAAGCTCGGAAGTGATGGTGGTGGGCTTGGGACATTTGATCGAATTCCCACTTGCAGGAAATTTCCACTTGGATCAAAATCCCCCACTTTGATCAGGGTTCCACTTTGATCAGAGTTTCATCGTGGCACTGTGGTGGATGTCTGAGATTCAATGACAGCACCCCTGGCGGTTCTTGTAGTCAAGACTATGACGAAGTTGAAGGCAGCGAGGACACGCGACAACAGTTTTCGACCCCTGGGAGTGATCTTATGTGTCTGTACGGTCCCACTGGGATCTGGAAGTCCGTGTTTTCTGTTTTCTGTTTGATGTCCCACTGTGGGACTACTCTGCACAGTGTACTTTTGTGGGACCTGACCCCTGAGAGTGATCGATGTGTCTGTACGGTCCCACTGGGATCCGCAAGTCCGTGTTTTCTGCGTGATGTCCCATTGTGGGACTACTCTTCACGGTGTACTTTTGTCGGACCGTTGTGGGACTGCTCTTGATAGGTATGCCTTTTATAGCTCTGTTTCGGCTGATGGCCTGGTGGAAAGGGGGAACAGGTGACTTGTATGTTGGGCTTTGGCTTTTGCGTGCCAGCCTGGGGTTTTAGGGAAGGTGCTGACTTGGTGCTCGACGTTGGCAATGCAAAGGTTGCTTGCTCTGTAAAGAGGACGGATTGGAAAGGAGCATCATTCATTCCACCGTAGGGGGAGTCGGCTAAACGCCCACAAAATTTCGTCAGTGACTGAAACGTGCGTGGAGCTGAACTGCGCGGGCCAGGACCGTTTACCCCTTGCTTGCGATGTATGATCTCTTCTGAAGGTTAGGAAGGAAGAACAACAGAACAACAGAACAACAAGGAAGCGTCGCAGCTTTCAGTGGGTGGTTAGCGCAGAGGCGTGGGATCTGTGGCTGTTGATACAGCTTTCTCTTTGGGTCAGACAGACTAGAATGAGGTGAGATTGTTGCAGTCGTTCGACAAGAGTCGACGAAAGGAAACAATAAAGCGCTGATGGGAGTGCACGAGAGAGTGCCTGCTATATTGGCAGTGGGCGGTGGTGCTGCAGAGGCGAGTCTTATGCTTGTCATCACAGTCCTCGACCTGGATCTGCTCTTTGGAGTGTCCTGCTTCTTCTTCTGTGTTTGTCGTATCGGCGTGAAGAGGGCAACGGCGTGAAGAAGGCAATGGCGTACGATAGGCTTGCTGAGGCGAAAGATGATTTGGAACTGTTCGATGAGAGTTGGTTGTGTCGTCCTTCCGGACATCTGTTAAAATTGGAACGAACGATACACAGAAGATTAGCACGGCCCCTGCGCAAGGATGACATGCATATTAAAAGAGTTGGTTGCCTTGTCAGATGTGAAGCAGGGGGGGATGGTGGAGGATAGATTGGCTGAGGCGAATGAGTAGGAACCGGATGACGAGGGTTTGGTTGGGTGGGTGGATGGATGGTCATCATGCTGGAAACGTGTTTTGTGCAATAGCGATTGGATGTTAAGAGTAGGTTAGCGGGGTCTGCCACTTTGTGCCACTTGTCTTCTTCGATGAGGGGTAATGTTGGAGGTGGGGTTGTTGAAGAAAGGGTAATGTTGTAATGGGTGTTGTTGCTGATGAAAAGCAGCTGATAACAACGCATTCCGACTGACGCTGTGTTCCCTTCTTGGTCTCCGCCTGTGATGGTAGGATGAGATCAATGGCACCCCCTTTTCTGTGTGCAACACATGATTATCTGTCATGTGTATATCTCTGTGGGGTGGGTGGGGTGCATGTTAAACGGAACTTGGACGCTCCACTGCGTTTCACAGTCCCTTGGATTTTGGGAGGATGCGCATTTTGCATGGCGGGCTGGAGGATAAAGAGGGCAGGCCGTTCACCGCTGAAGTTTTGGAGGTTGCAGGCGTTTGTGCTGTTTTTCCTGGAGACAGTGGTGGATTGACATTGAGGTTCATTGAGGTTCATCCTTTCAGCCGCGGAGATTGCTCAAAAGTGTTATTTGTATAATTGCGAGGTGGAGAAGGGATGTGTTACTCCACTCTATTCCTCATTGGCACTAAGTCGCTAACGATAATTGGTACAGGCCTTTCTCAAACGAGTACAGCTGTGAGCTGCTTACCATGTATTCAGATTGGATGTGAGAATTTCAGACACAGTGCAAGCGGTATGGGGCAGGGAAATGTGAGAGTTGAAGCTCTATGCATTGTCTCCCTCCCTTTGTCTACACTGCTGTTCTTCCCTGTCTTCCTTGTGTTCTCTGATGATGATTGGATGCTTATCGAATGATTTGTGTGTACTTGGGCGGAGGCCCGTAAGGAAGTATGACTGTTGTACATAACTGCAGCCGGACATGATCAATCAATCAATCAATCAATCAATCAATGTATGAATGGGACTTTTGTGTCAGGCTGGATAGTATTTCTGATTGCTGGACGAGTCAGTATGACTATTGCATGCATGTCTCTCTCTCTCTCTCTCTCTCTCTCTCTCTCTCTCTCTCTCTCTCTCTCTCTCTCTCTCTCTCTCTCTCTCTCTCTCCCCCTTGCTCTCTCACATGCATGCAATGCCTTCTAAGTGGAAGTGGGTTTGGTTGTCTTGGGCCAGGAGGATCCAGTGGTCTGTTATTGCATGAGGAGCTCTTGGTGTTGCACTTCTGGATCGATGTCGGTCCTTCGAAGGATCACTACCTTTCTCGTATGTGGAGCCGTGGGCCTTAGGTTTCAAATTCGGAGGCCGGGAGCCGCTGATGAAAATGATCAGCGGCGGCCCGACGGCTATTTTTTTTCGTGAGTAGGCTACTTTTTTGACTCAGCATCACCATATAGCCTGAAAGGTAGTGGTGGTTTAAGAGGAATTGTCATTGGAAATATAAAATCAGAGCGCGAAGTTGGTCACTTCCAAGTGATTGCTGGTTGAAGGGATCGTTGAGGTTTTGATGTACTGTTGTACTCACAAGTGAATGACAATGAGAGATGCGAAGGCAAGGCATTGTGTGCGAGGGCAAGGCATCTCAAAGCGTAGACAATACTAAGCATGTGATATAGGTACACTTGAAGACGGGCAAGCATCCGCAAACAAAGCCAGGCTCTGCGATCGACAACTGTTTTCTGCAAATGCCGGTTTCTCTCGTCGATGTTCCGTCAGGATTTTTGTTTGACATCTGTTATGGGAGAGGCAGTGGAACCGTGAGATGGCAGGATCGAGTCAAGCACAGAACAACGGGTGTAGCAAACTGGTTGTTGTGATGCCCACTGTCGAGAGATGTCGTCTCCTTCAGATTGTTAGCGCTCGCTCCTGCGGCAGAGTTTCCCGTGCGTGTCGGCACAGAGGCTGTGCCATAGTTCTCATCCTCCAAAGCATAGGGTATGTGGCTTTCGATCTGTTGCGGAGGGCTTCGAGCCTGTTCGGAGCATGTACTATGATGTGGGCTGGTGGGGGGTGGGACTTGGGGGGGGCAGGCAGAGCACAGTTAAGTAGCTGTCTCTACTGACTCTCTAGTCATTGATATCTGGACATACGTTTGGTCTGCTGCGAGGTTCTCCGACCTTCATGCATGTATGGATGCGCTGTTTGTGTTGTCCGACAATGGAGATGGAACTAAGGGAGTGTATGTATGGATAAATGCCAAAGCCAAAAAAATGTCGGTGACGTGGTTGCGTTGACGAGGATGTTGACGTGGGTGTCGACATCGTGTGCATATTCCGTGTGGCACCAGCGAGGTGTCGAACTTGTTTGTGAGCATGTAAGTCTGTGCTCTGACGTAGGATCCAGTTGCTGCCTTTCTCCTGCTTGTATAGAGAAACAATTCTACCAGTTCGACTCAAAACTGTGGACTCTTTTACATGTGGTTATGGGTGAGTTGAGTTTTCGGGTTCATAACAGAGGCTACACAACAGTGTGCTCGTGACGAAGATGTAGGGGATATCTTCCGTGTTGTGTGTGCTTGTTGCCTGCCTGGTGTTATGTGCTTGTGTGAAAAAAAGGCCAGAAACAATTCTACCACATTGACTAAAAACTTGTACTCTTTCACATGTGGTTATGGGTGAGTTAAGTTTTGTGGTTCATTATGGATAACGGATACTTGAACTCAAAAGTGCGGTGCGCTTGTAACGAAGATGTAGGATATCTTCCGTGTTGTGTGTGATTGTTGCCTGTGTTATGAGCTTGTATAGAAAAAAGCCTATGTGGCAGATGTCTGTCGGTGGGTGATCATGTTGTTGCTGGAACGAGGAGTGAGATAGTGAATAGTTTAAATGAATCTATAGAATAGAAAAAGCCTGTGGCATTCGTCCGCAAAGGGAATGCTACCGTCTTCACCCGAATATAGAATGCCCGGTCATTATAGCCGTATATGGGGCAACTTTCAGTCTAGATACTGCGATAATGACCGGGTGTTCTATTTGGGTGAAGACGGTAGCTTGTGGAACCATTCTCTCACCTCTGAACTTTTTGCAGTTTGGTCATTGTCAGTGTCGAGGCCGCTTCTCCTGTCTCCTGTCTCCTATCTCCTGTCTTCCGTCTCTTGTTTCCCAACTTCCGTTCTCTGCTGTCTTGTCTTGCATTCTGCATCTGCCTGTTGACATGGTCCTTTTCCGAACCTGACGGTTGCGTTCCGAACCTGGCGGTTGCATTCTGACAATTGAAACTTTCCATATGGTTGCCCGTCTCTGCTATGACGTGGTTGGCCCGACCGGGCAGGCCGGAAAGGACAGGTTCGGTGTACAATCGGGTTTTTGACAAAATAGGGTCCGCTGAGCTGGTGGTTTAAACCGCCAGTCCTTGGCCCGGCTATCCGCCGGGGAAAAAAAATAGAGTAGTAAAGTTCCCAGTTGGATGAATTTGGGCGCTCCTGTAGTGGCCGGTACGTTTGCTAAAATCGTGGCTTGTTTAACCGCTAGTACCTTTGCCCGTCCGGTTTCGACAAGTTTTAGCCTGGTCCCAAAAAAAAAAAAAAAAAAAGAAGTCTTAGCCTGGTCGCAAACTTTTAGGAGGCCGGGCCCGACAACGGCTGCGGTTGAAAAATCTGATCGGGGGTCGTCGTTTCGTTTCGGCCTCCTGACAGGAGGTCGGAGGCCCACTATTTTTGGAACCGACAAAGGTACCACTGCTTTTACGGCCACGACTTTAGGAAACGTACGGACCACTACAGGAGCGCCCAAATTCATGCGACTTTGAATGTTTCTACTCTTTTTTTCCCCGCGGCCGATAGCTGGGCCAAGTACTGGTGGTTTAAGAAGGCGACGGTCTGACTACATCAGCGGCGGCTCTCAGGATTGGGGGGTATGGACTGCGGATCAGTTGCTTGTAGGGTAACTTCCGATAGGGCCAGGGGGGTAGTTTCTCTGGGTGGGAGGGTCTAGGGGAAGCACGGGGTAGGTTGGCACCACAACAGTGGTGTGAGAGCAAGGCTGTACCAGTCTCTCATCACGGCGACGAGGGGTGGGCAGACATTGCCGATGGGGGAAATCGGCGGTGCTAGCGCTGAGCAATGACCAGGCACTGCACCTCCCCCTCCCCCCCCCCAAACCCCACATGGCGGTGTCTAATGGCCAATATTGTAGCTGCGTAGACAACATCAACCAAGGTCCTGCCAATGCTGGCTTGGGGGGTGAACGGGTTATCTCTAGCTGGTAGAACACCAAGCTTGCCCAGGCACGTCCGTGAGCCCAATGGGGATTGAACCCACGACCTCCTGAATGCAACTTCTGTGCCTTACCAACTGAGCTATGCAGAAGGCCGGGGTGTAACGGCTGGGGTTCTGCCACGTGGCAGGGACAGGGTGGAATTTTAGTATGTTGGTGCAGTAGACGTACATGATATATATCTGATAGCAGTTGAAGATTGGTATTAGTCCACCTCTGAGATGGATGGGCAGTAAAAATAATAATAATAATAATAATAAATTAATAATAATAATAATAATAATAATAATAATAATAATAAAAGATAGATGGGCAGTCAATCCCCTTGCAAAGAGCGCAATCAATGGTGCTCATCATACATAACTTGACATAAGTGGCATGTATAACACATCACCTGGCTCCTTGTTATGGTGATGTACAGGGACGCTGGACCCGTTTTCCAGCAGGTGCAGCTCCCCACCGATGGAACGGAGCCATCCAACGAGCGGGGATAGTAGATGGGGTGTCTGCTCGTATCAGCAGTTCCCCTACACCCTGTCATAGATGTTTGATCAATAAAATTTAAAGGGAAAAAAAAGGTGACGGTTTGACTGTGCTTGGACTCTCTACCCGCCAGTCGATCAAGTATTGTGTGTACCATCAAACCTCCACCCTCCCAATGATTTTCCTCACAATCGAAGTTTCGATTGAACAGATGTGTTTGTGGAAACGGGACAACGGTCCTTTGGGACATCCGTTAATATTGAAACGTCACAGAGAAGATGTACCTGCTGGAACTTGGACCCCAGCAACCCTCACAAAGGCGTCCCAAAGAAAAATACGGCGGCTGGAGACTAGATCCAGCTCGGGTACAAAGCATCCAGATCTAGAAATCACAGCCTCCCACTGGAGCATGAACCCCTTTCCCAAGTCCATATCAAAACCGAGAGAGAGAGAGAGAGAGAGAGAGAGAGAGAGAGAGAGAGAGAGAGAGAGAGAGAGAGAGCAAGGATTGCTCGATAACCAGGATGTGTTGCGTCGTTGACACTTTTGAGCCGTTTCATTGCACATTTATGTTGAACCTTAGTGTTAATTTTGGTAAACGTTTTGTACTAGAAAAAAGAACCGACAAGCCACTACATACAGCACCAGTCAGTGCCCGAAAAAAAGAAACAACTAGAGTCCCAGACTCTCCAATGTGCCATTCTGTGCGTTCACTAATTCGTACCAATAAACAGATGTATCCTGTCGAGGTCGGCGGACCCTGAGTACGCCCTCAGGCTCTTTTACAAAGAGTCGGTTTAGTGATAACACAGATAACCCATTGCCAATCGAGGAGTGTAGTGATAACACAGATAACCTATTACCAACGAAGGCGTTTAGTGATAATACGGATAACCGATCCACAATCGAGGAGTTAGTGATAACACGGATAACCTGTTGCCAATCGAGGGGTTCCACATGTGGAACCCATCCTCTGGAATTCATGTAGTACCATGTGGAACCATGTGGAACCCATGTGGACCCATGTGAAACCTCAGGCTCTTTGTGATTCTGCGAGCTGTTTGATTGGTAATTGCCAATCGATGGGTTCCACATGGTACCATGTAGTACCATGTGGAACGCATCCCAGGGACAGGTCCCAGATGGTACTAAAAGTAAAAGCCCAGCTTTACACCTATCCAAGTTTCGTGAGGATCCTTGCTTGGGAACCACTTTGAGGGCATACTCCTTCCCCCCGCCCCCCCCCCCTCTGAGC